TTTGTTTAAAGTTACTAGAACTGTCACACTGCAGGAGCACACCACCATCTTTTAGATTTTTCACTTTCCCAATATTGATGTCCGTAAGAGGATCAACATTTTTTAAAACGTCTGATTTAGTTTTAGCAATTGACTGATTTTTCTGATTTTCACCCTTTGGCTTAACTATAATAGTTTTCTGAGAGTTTTTTATCAAAGTTTGGGCATAAGATGATTTAGCGTGCATTTCATCAGCATCAACTAACATTATCTGATCACAAGGTTTAGAGGCGGGTAAGCATTTCTTTAAAATGATTATTTCATTACGCAATTTTGAATTTTCAAGAGATAAATTATTAACTGATTTTTCTAACATCGAAATAGTGTCAGTTAATGGTTTCAATTGGTTTCCAATGATTGATTCGATCATTTTCAAAGAATGAGGAAACAAATTAAGTTCAGAAGCTAAAGGAATGGATTGAGTATGAGAAGCAGCAGAGGCAGAGGCAGAAAGTGAACAAAAAGCACACAACCAGGATGTTAATTTTCTTTCCATTTGAAGCTGATTGTAAGCATCATCATCATCAATGTTAACACATTCATTGTGAAAATTCGATTTACAAACATTACAGGACAAATAGTTCTGACTTCTAGTTACGCTGCTATTGCATTTACTGCATTTTATAGCCATTTTCGACACTCGCAAGTGCTGAAATCACACTGCGGCCAGTTTGGGGTCAAGTAGAAGATAAGCAAATTCTGCCAAAAAAGTCGACGGTAAGAAAAACGAATGATAACGAACTCAATCAAAATGTGAAAGTCGGAAGGAAACATAGAACATGTTTCCTTCGACAAAAATTAACAAACCAATCTATTTGTCAGTATATATAATTATTTAGATTCACGAAAGGCTCAAATCAATATGGAACAAACTCACCTAAATGATTCGAATGTACGGAGCGACAAAATGCACGTCTACACTCTGCTAGCACACGAAACGAATAGACTTATGGTATTATCTGTGATATATTTAAAATCCCTGTAATCTACAGTTTCCCTACACAGAATTTTTAGAATGTTTATAATATCTAGAATCTCTGCAAAATCTGAGTTTCTAGGGTTTATAAGATCTTTAAAATATCGAGAATCCAGAGAATTTCTAGGTAATCTAAAATCTTTTGAATCTTTGAGACCACTAATGTACCTAGAATTTCTACGATCTTTGGAACTCAACTTTGAAATTTCTGAATCTCTGGAAATTTGGATTTTCTAGAATCTGTATAATCTCTGAGATCTTTAGTATATGTAAGATTTCTATGTTTCAAAAATCTAAAGAATTTCTGGAAACTCTGAATCTTTAAAACTTCCAAAGAGTTTTTGGAATTTTTAGAAACTAAAAAAAAAAATTGAAATTTTTGTAATATCTAGATTAGCAAGAAACTCTAGAATTTCTGGAATTTCTGAATTTTTGGGATTTGTTATGTAGGTTTGTTTTTGTGATGGGATAGTAATTTTCCAGAAATTGTTATTAAAAAATTAGTTTTTCCTGGATAACGATGGCGAAGAATTTCTATTGGAGTTGATACTTTATGGTATTATCTGTGATATATTTAAAATCCCTGGGATCTACAGTTTCCCTAACCAAAGTTCTTCGAATGTTTACAATGTCTAGGATCTCTATAGTATCTAGAATCTCAATTTCTGATCTTCTAGGATTTCTAAAATCTTTAAAATATCGAGAACTCATAGAATTTCTACGTAATCTAAAATCTTTTGGATCTTCGGGGCCACTAATAAGCCTACAATTTCTACGATATATGGAACCCAACTTTGAAACTGAAATTTCTGGACATAAAATCTTTAGGTTTTAATAATCTAAAAAACTTCTGGTATCTCTTCTGAATCTTTAAAATTTCCATCCAGTTTCGGGAGTTCCTAGAATCTCCAAAAAAACTTCGTGAGACCTACAAAATCTCTAGATCGCAAAGAACCCAAGAATTTCTGGAATTTCTGAGTTTTTGGGATTTGGATTGACTGTTTGTTTCCTTATGGGACGGTAATTTTCCAGAAATTATTATTAATAAAATTCCTTTTTCCTGGATAAGGATTGCGGAGAACTTCTATCGGACTTAAAATTTTTTGGTAATATCTGTGATATTTTTATAATCCCTGAAATCTACAGTTTCCCTAATTAGAATTCTAGAAATGTTTTTATTGTCTAAGATCTCTGTTTCAACTAGAATCTCTGCAATCTCTGACCTTCTAGGATTTCTAAGTTCTTTAAAATGTCGAGAATTCAAAGGATCTTTTGGATCTTGGGGACCACTTATATGCCCAGAATTTCTACGAACTTTGGAAACCAACCTTGAAATTTCTGAATCTTTGGAGATTTTGGATTTTCTGGAATCTATACAAGCTCTAAGATCTTTAATATGTGTAAAATTTTTAGGTTTTAATAATCTAAAAAACTTCTGGTATCTCTTCTGAGTCTTTAAAATTTCCATCCAGTTTCGGGAGTTCCTAGAATCTCCAAAAAAACTTCGTGAGACCTACAAAATCTCTAGATCGCAAAGAACTCTAGAATTTCTGGAATTTCTGAGTTTTTGGGATTTGTATTGACTGTTTGTTTCCTTATGGGACGGTAATTTTCCAGAAATTGTTATTAATAAAATTCCTTTTTCCTGTATAAGGATTGCGGAGAATTTCTATTGGACTTAAAATTTTTTGGTATTATCTGTGATATTTTTATAATCCCTGAAATCTACAGTTTCCCTAATTAGAATTCTAGAAATGTTTCTAATGTCTAAGATATCTGTTTCAACTAGAATTTCTGCAATCTCTGACGTTCTAGGGTTTCTAAGATCTTTAAAATATCGAGAATTCATAGGATCTTTTGGATGTTTGGGACCACTTATATGCCTAGATTTTCTACAAACTTTGGAAACCAACCTTGAAATTTTTTAATCTTTGGAGATTTTGGATTTTCTGGAATCTATACAATCTCTAAGATCTTTAATATATGTAAAATCTTTAGGTTTTAATAATCTAAAAAACTTCTGGTATCTCTTCTTCTTCGTGAGATCTATAAAATCTCTAGATCGCAAAGAATTTCTATTGGACTTAAAATTTTTTGTGTAGAATTTCTACGTTGCTTGGAACCCAACTTTGAAACTTCTGAATAGAGATTCAGAAATTTTCGATTTCTGGAATCCGCACAATCTCTAAGACCTTTGGCATATGTAAGATCTCCAGGTTTCAATAACCTGAAAAATTTCTGGAATCTCTGAATCTTTAAAAGTTCCCTTCAGTTTCTAGAATCTCCAAAAAAATTCTTGGAATTTATGTATATAATCTTTAGAACAGCAGGGAAAACGAGAATTTCTTGGTGTTTCTTAATTTTTGAAATTTGTAATGAACGTATGTTTTCGTGATGGGGTGGTAATTTTCCATAAACCCAACCTCGAAATTTCTGATTTTCTGGAAATTTTGGATTTTCTGGATTTTACACAATCTCTAAAATTTTTAGTATGTCTAGGATTTCTAGGTTTCAATAATCTAAGGAATTTTGTGGAATTGCTGATTCTTTATAACTTCCATCCAGTTTCTGGAGTTCCTAGAATCTCCAAAAAAAATCGCAAAGTATTCAAAAATTTCTAGAATGTCTGAATTTTTGAAATCTATATTGACGGGTTGTTCCCTTATGGGATGGTAATTTTTCACAAATTGTTATAAAAAAAATGTCTTTCTTTGATAAGAGTGGTGGAGAATTTCTATTGGATTTGATATTTTCTAGTTTTACCTGTATTATATTTTAAATCCATGGAATCTACAGTTTCCCTAACCAGCATTCTTGGAATATCTATAATGTCAAAGATCTCTATGGTATCTAGATTCTCTGTTATTTCTAATAAGGATTTCTAAGATCTTTGAAATATCGAGAATTCATAGGATTTCTAGATAATCTAAAATCTTTTAGATATTTGTGGCCACAAATATCCCTAGAATTTCTACAATCTTTGGAACCCGACCTTAAAATTTCTGAATCTGTGGAAATTTTGGACTTTCTGAAATCTACACAATCTCTAGATTTCCAAAAAATTCTTGGGATCTATATAATATCTAGAATCGCAAAAACCTCAAGAATTTCTGGAATTTTCCAGAAATTGTTATTAAAAAGAAATGCTTTTGTCGTGTATATTTTTAAAATATTGAGAATTCATAGGATTCTTAGGGTAGGTACCTAAAATTTTTAGAATTTCTGAATCTCTGGAATTTTTCGATTCTCTAGATTTCTAGGTTTCAAGAATTTGAAGAATTTCCGTCTAGTCTCTGGAGTTTCTGAAATCTAAAAAAAAAAAAATTATTGGATTCTATATAGTCTCTAGAATCGCAAATGAGAGCGAATTTTTCCAGAAATTCTCATTCAAAAGAAAAAAAATATATCTTTAAAGTGGTGAGAATTTTTAGCTAGCAGCCTGAATTGCCTTGATTAAAATTTGAAACAGAATTAAACAGTAGGAAAATCCATTTAAAATAATGAAACTCTAAAAGAACATACTTCAATGTCGTTTTTTTTTTTTATATGGGTGACATAAAATCCCTTTGCTTCACGTTATAACAACAAAATTTTAGCAAAACCCGCTGTGGAACAATCGCCTTAACCCTTCATTCAAACCACCACCTGCCTCTCACTCTGCACCGACCTCCCTCGAAATCCGCGACTCGTACCCTAACCAGCACTCATGCCAATCACGTGACTTTCCCGCCATGCATAATTCATGGCACACTTCTTCCGTAACCTCAAACCCGCCGTCTTCGCGAAATCCAGAAAACCCGCAGTTCCGCCAACCGTTGCACCACCTGCCGCCCCCCTGCCCTTCCGCCACAAAAAGCGCCCTTCCCTCCCCATTGTCCGTCCGTTCCGTCTTACCTGTATCGCCTTTTGAATGTTTTGCGCGCCAGCTCGTGGTCAGGTGGGGCGGAGGGGAGGGGACGGCTAACCGTTCACAATCAAGTCGGCTTGGAATTCCGAGCAACGTTTATTTCACAATTCGTGTCGGAATAGAGCACGCGATGTAGGACGAGGCGGCGGCGAAATGTGCGTGCAGTGCAATCGTTTTTCGACGGGGTGTACGTTGTGGTGAAAAGCGGTGGAAAGCGTTGAACTGAGACTCGGGAAGATGGTGCTTGGGTGACTCCGCCAGGATGAAGTACAACACGATCGGGGCGGTGAATGGGGAGAAGAAGTCCTCGTTTACCGTCTACGCCGATATGGATATAGCCCAGAACAAGGTAGAGAGGTTGGGGATTTGGGGCTCGGGCATGGGCGGGCTGGGCCGGGGGGCATGCTAATGGGACCATGTGGGTTAAGGATTTATGGCCGGTGGTCGCAATTGTGTCAATAGTTCAGGAGCGGAATTCGGTATTTGTGAGATGGTCGTGCTTGGATGGGTGACTAGAAACCAAGACATTCGGAGGTTTTGTTATTTTGAGCAAGCTGAGTTTTTTATTTTGGTCACTTCGGAATGTTTGCAGTGAACAATGCACTCTTTCAAGGTCGGGGAAATTATGTAAAAGTGACAACTAACTAACGAAGAAGAAGAAGAAAAAGAGAAAATTTGTGAATAACGTTTGTGTAAAGAGTGTGAAAAAAAGAACGAGTTTTGCAATACCAGAAACCGTTATCCTAACGTAAACATTATTATTCGAGTTGCCTAAACAGTGTGCGAACTGATTATTTCCTAAACTATATTATTTTGTCATAGTTTCAAGAATTTCGAAACAATTAAAGTTTGAATGTGAATATGATTTTTCACCAGTTGGGTATATAGTTCACCAGAAAACAACATTATTTGACGTAAGGTTCCATTTTATTTAAAATAATGGCGATAGTTAAAGTAGATCGAGTTTAGAATAACAACTTTCGACACTTGAAAAAAAACGTTTCAGAACATTTCGAAATTAAATAGGAAAATTGGCAATCGCGAATTGTCAATATTTTATCACTGGAATATCCCACGATGCAGATTTTTTTGGGTTATTATATAAAATCTCGATTACAATAAATGATTACAACATTGATCAGACAGTGGTTATAAGGTGATACATAGATTGTCTTAATATTTTTCGTTGAATTACTTTTGAAAAAAAATAATATACAGTACAAATCAGATTTCTCTGGTGATAATTTTATCAGAAATTGATAAAATAAAGTAATTCATTAATAAAGTCCAGAAATTTATTTTCAAATGCTCTATAAAAATTTGCTAAGGAAGTATTGCAATAGGGTCCATGGGGCAACTGGCTACTTTCATATTTTCTCGATTTTCTTGACGTTTCATGACCCCTAGGGTATCCGGACTAATTGTTGTCAAATTGTATATCTATGTTAATTAAGACTATCGTATAGACGGTAAAACGCTAACCAAAATTTGTTTAATCAACCCCACCAATAATTTGAGGACGTCACCTCAAAATTGTGCTTAGTACACACAATTTAAATTTTATAAAATAGCATAGCTCAGTTGGCTGGTAATTAAGATAATTCGAAATAATATTGAAAGTATCAGAAGAAATCCAGGATCCGAGGGAATCCTCAAGAATACGAAGGAATATAAGAGAATTTAGAAGAATTTGAAAGAATCCGGAAAAATCCTGAGGAAACTGTGAAAATACAATTGAATTCGGAAGAATCTAAAAGATCCGGGGAATCCGGGAAAATTATACAGAATCCGAGACAATCCGAGAGAAACCAAAAAACCTAGGAAATCCAAGGAATCCCAGGAACTCAAAAAACAGAAGGAATACAAGGAATTAAAAAAACACTAAGAATAGGAAGAATGCGAAAAACGAAAACAATTCAAAGCACCGAAAAAATTTAAAAAAACCCGGAAACTAAATTCACAAATATTTCGGTATTTTGGAGAATCCCGTAGAAGCTGAAAGAATTCGAAAGAATCTTATACCATCCCAAAACAATTCGGAAGGATACGGAAAACGCCGAAAAGAACCGAAAAACACGGATGAATCCAACCAAATTCCGAGATGATCAAATAGAATCCAGAAGAACCTGAAAGAATCCGAGAAATTACGAAAGAAGCCGGCCAAATTCCGAGAGAATCGGAAAAATCCGAAAGGAATCGTGAGACTACGAGAAAAATCAATTCAAGAAAATTCACTACATACAGATTCTAAAAGGCTCTGCGCCAATCCAAGAGAATCCAAAAAGAATCCGAAAGAATCCGAGAAATTACGGAAGAATTCGGCCAAATTTCGAGAGGATCAGAGAGAATTCTGAAGAATCCGAAAGAAACACAGAGAATAGGAAAAAATCCGAAATGAAACCGAAAAGTTATGAGAGAATCCGTTCGAATTAGAAGAGAATCAGAGAGAATTTGAAAGAATTCGAGAAATTATGAGAGAATCCGACCAAATTTCGAGAGGATTAGAAAGAATTCGGAAGAATCCCAATGAAACCGGGAGAATACGAGACAATCTAACAAAAACCTAAGGAATCAGAAAATCGAACAGAATCCGAAAGAAACCAAGAAACCTAGAAAACCCAAGAAACTTAAAGAAAAGAAGAAACGTAAGGGAGTCAAAAAATCAAGAATCATAAGAACGCGAAAAATACAAAAAATTCAAAGCACCGAAAAAATCCAAAGAATGCGGAAACTAAATTCACATATTTCGGTATTTTGGAGAATCCCAGAAAAGCTGAAAGACTGCGAGAATTCGAAACAATCCTAAAGAATCCGAAAATAATTGAAGAGAATCCCAAAGAATACGAAAAACGCCGAAAAAAACGAAAAAATATGGGAGAATCGGACCAAATTCCGAGAGGATTAGATAGAATTTGAGAAAATCCAATAGAATCTCTGGTAATCTCAAAGATTCTGCGCCAATCCGAAAGAATCCGAAAAGAACCGAAAAAAGATGAGAGAATCCAACGAAATTCCGAGAGAATCGGAGAGAATCTGGCAGGATCTTAAAGAATCCGAGAAATTCCGAGAGAATTGGAGAGAATTCTGAAGAATCCGAAAGAAACACAGAGAATACGAAAAAATGCGAAATGAAATCGAAAAGTTGCAAGAGAAAACGATCAAATTCGAAGAGGATCAGAGAGGATTTGAAAGAATTCGAGAATTCATGAGAGAATCCGGCCAAATTTCAAGAGGATCAGAAAGAATTCGGAAGAATATTCCAAAGAATCAGAAAAAATCAAACAGAATCCGAAAGAAACCAAGGAACTTAAAGAAAAGAAGGAACGTATGGAACTCAAAAAACAAAGAATGGGAAGAACGCGAAAAAAAAATTAGAATCCAGAAGAACCTGTAAGAATCCGAGAAATTACGAGAGAACGCGCCAAATTCCGAGAAGATCAAAGAGAGTTCTGAAGAATCCGAAAGAAACACAAAGAGTACGAAAAAATCCGAAATGAAACCGAAAAGTTATGAGAGAATCCGTTCGAATTCGAAAAGAATCAGAGAGAATTTGAAAAAATTCGAGAAATTACGAGAGAATCCAGCCAAATTTCGAGAGGATTAGAAAGAATTCGGAAAAATTCGAATGAAACCCGGAGAATAAGAGACAATCTGACAGAAACCCAAGGAATCAGAGAAAATCGAACAGAATCCGGAAGAAACCTAGAAAACCCAAGGAACTTGAAGAAAATGAGAAACGCAAGGGACTCAGAAAACCAAGAATCGGAAGAACGCGAAAAATACAAAAAATTCAAAGTACCGAAAAGATCCAAAGAATGCGTAAACTAAATTCACATATTTCGGTATTTTGGAGAATCCCAGAAAAGCTGAAAGACTGCGAGAATTCGAAACAATCCTAAAGAATCCGAAAATAATTGAAGAGAATCCGAAAGAACACGAAAAACGCCTAAAAAATCGAAAAAATATGGGAAAATCCGACCAAATTCCGAGAGGATCAGATAGAATCCAGAAGAAACTGAAAGAATCCGAGAAATTACGAGAGAACGCGGCCAAATTCCGAGAGGATCGGAAAGAATCCGGAAAAATCCAAAAGAAACCGTGAGAATACGAGAAAATTCGAAAGAATCCAAATGAACTTATGAGAATGTGAGAGAATTCGGAGGAATCAGGAAACATCAAAGGAATTTGAGAAAATCCAATAGAATCTCTGGTAATCTCAAAGATTCTGCGCCAATCCGGCAGAATCCGAAAAGAACCGAAAAAAGATGAGAGAATCCAACGAAATTCCGAGAGAATCGGAGAGAATCTGGCAGGATCTTAAAGAATCCGAGAAATTCCGAGAGAATTGGAGAGAATTCTGAAGAATCCGAAAGAAACACAGAGAATACGAAAAAATCCGAAATGAAACCGAAAAGTTGTAAGAGAATCCGATCAAATTCGGAAGAGGATTTGAAAGAATTCGAGAATTTATGAGAGAATCGGGCCAAATTTCAAGAGGATCAGAAGGAATTCGGAAGACTCCGAATGAAACCAAGGGAATACGAAAGAATACGAGACAACTGACAGAAACCCCTAAGAATTAGAGAAAATCGAACAGAATCCGAAAGAAACCAAGAAACCTAGAAAATTCAAAAAACAAAGAATCGGAAGAAGGCGAAAAATAAAAAAAATAGAATCCATAAGAACCTGTAAGAATCCGAGAAATTACGAGAGAACGCGGCGAAATTCCGAGAAGATCAAAGAGAATTCTGAAGAATTTGAAAGAAACACAAAGAATACGAAAAAGTCCTGCATGAAACCGAAAAGTTATGAGAGAATCCGATCAAATTCGTAGAGGATCAGATAGAATTTGAAAGAATCCGAGAAATTACGAGAAAATCCGGCCAAGTTCCGAGAGGATCGGAAAGAATCCGGGAAAATACGAAAGAAACCGTGATAATACGAGAAAATTCGAAAGAATCCAAATGAGCTTACGAGAATGTGAGACAATTCGGAGGAATCGGGAAATATCCAAGGAATTCGAGAAAATCCAATAGAATCTCTGAGAATCTCAAAGATTCTGCGCCAATCCGAAAGAATCCGAAAAAAAACGAAAAAAGATGAGAGAATCCAACCAAATTCCTAGAGAACCGGAGAGAATCTTGCAGGATTTTAAAGAATCCGAGAAATTCCGAGAGAATTGGAGAGAATTCTGAAGGATCCGAAAGAAACACACAGAATACGAAAAAATGCGAAATGAAACGGAAAAGTTGCAAGAGAATCCGATCAAATTATGAGAGAACGCGGCCAAATTCCGAGAGAATCGGAAAAAATCCGAAAGGAACCGTGAGAATACGAGAAAATTCGAAA